TCACTTTAAGTCAAAAGCAAGAACTGATTAGCTTAGTAAGGAAGGCATGTTGAAAGCTGAAATGGTCCAAAAGCTAGGCTGCTTGCACCAGTTAGCCAAATTGTGAATGCAAAAGAAAAGTTCTTGAAAGAAGTTAAAAAGCGCTATTCCAGTGAAAACACAAACAATAAGAAAATTAAAAAGCCATATTGCAGAGGGGCACCTGGGTGGCTCAGTCGGTTAAGCGTCCAACTTCGGCTCAGGTCATGATCTCACAGCTTATGAGTTCAAGCCCCGCATCGGGCTCTGTGCTGACAGCTCAGAGCCTGGAGCCTGCCTCAGATTCTGTGTCTCCCTCTCTCTCTGCTCCTCCCCTGCTCATGCTCTGTCTCTGTGTCAAAAATAAATAAACATTAAAAAAAAAAAATTTTTTTTAAAGCCATATTGCAGATATGGAGAAAGTTTGAGTGGTCTGGATACAGGACCAAACCAGGCACACCATTCTCTTAAGCCAAAACCTAATCCAGAGCATGGCTCTAACTCACTTCAATTCTGTGAAGGCTGAATGTTGTGAGGAAGCTGCAGAAGAAAGTTTGAAGCTAGCAGAGGTTGGTTCATGAGGTTTAAGGAAAGAAGCCATCTCTGTAACATAAAAGTGCAAGGTAAAGCAGCAAATGCTTATATAGAAGTTGCAGTGAGTTGTCCAGAAGATCTAGCTAAGATTAGTAATGAAGGTGGCTACACTAAACAACAGATTTTTTCTTTTTTTTTTTTCTTTAATTGTTTTATTTTAGAAAGAGCGGACATCAGCTGGGGAGAGGGGGAGAGAGGGAGAGAGGGAGATTGAGGAGGGGGGTGGGGAGAATCCTAAGCAGGCTCCATACTCAGCATGGAGCCCGATGCAGGGCTCAATCCCACGACCCTGGGATCATGACCTGAGCTGAAATCAAGAGTTGGATGCTCAACTGACTGAGCCACCCAGGTGCCCCTAAACAACAGATTTTCAATGTAGATGAAACAGTCTTCTATTGGGAGAAGACGTCATTAGGATTTTTTCATGGATAGAAAGGAGAAGTCAAAACCTGGCTTCAAAGCTTCAAAGGACAGGCTGACTCTTTTTAGGGGCTAATGCAGCTGGTGACTTTACACTGAAGCCAATGCTCATTTACCGTCCGGATTAACCCAGGGCCCTTAAGAATTATGCTAAATCTACTCTGCGTGTGCTCAAGCCTGGATAATAGCACATCTGTTTACAACATGGCTTACTGAATATTTTAAGCCCACAGTTGAGACGTACTGCTCAGAAAAAAAAGATTACTTTCAAATTATTACTGCTCACTGACAATGCACCTGGTCACCCAAAAGCACTGTTAGAGATGTACAATGAGATTAATGTTGTTTTCATGTCTGCTAACACAACATCCATTCTGCAGCCCATGGATCAAGAGGTAATTTCAAGTCTAATTAGTTAACATTTTGTAAGGCTATAGCTATCACAGATAGTGATTCCTCTGATGGATTTGGGCAAAGCCAACTGAAAATCTTCTGGAAATGATTCACCATTCTAGATGCCATTAAGAACATTCATGATTCATGACAAGAGATGAAAATATCAATACGAACAGAAATTTTTAAGAAGTTGATTCCAACTCTCACGGATGACTTTGAGGGGTTCAAGACTTCAGTGGAGGAAAGAACTGCAGATGTGGTAGAAAGAGCAAGAGAATGAAAATTAGAAGTGGAGCCTGAAGATATGACTGAATCACTGCAATCTCATGATAAAACTTTAAAGGATGAGGAGTTGCTTCTTATGGATGAGCAAAGACATTGGTTTCTTGAGATAAAATCCATCTCTGGTGAAGATGTTGTGAAGATTGCTTAAATGAAAACAAAGGATTTAGAATATTATATAAATTTAGTTGGTAAAGCAGTGAAGGATTTGAGAAGTCAATTTGAAAGTAAATTTGAAAATTGACTCCAATTTTGAAAGAAGTTCCACTGTGCGTAAAATGCTACCAAATAACACTACATGCCAGAAAGAAATCACTCATGAAAGGGTAAATTGATGAGGCAAACTTCACTCCCACAATAAAGTATTTTTTAAAATTAAGGTATGTATATTGTTTTTTTAGGCATAATACTGTTGCACACTTAATAGACTACAGTATAGTGTAAACATAACTTTTATATGCACTGGGAAACCAAAACATTCACTTGACTCACTTTACTGCAATATTTGCTTTACTGTGGTGGTGGTCTGTTACTGAACCTGCAATATCTCCAAGGTATGCCTGTAATGTGCTTTCAAAAAAACATTTCAAGGATTTTCTAAATAAAGAACAAATGTTATTTTGAAACTCATAAGAATATCAAGGATTCCAAAAATGCCACATTCTCTAGTGGGTGGTAACATACACTTGATCACTTCTTTTTCTAACAAACGAATTGTTGTAGTTCAAATATTCATTACAAAGATATAAAAATCACATCATGGGCACCTGGCAAAACAAAAACCAAAACAAAGGAAAACCTCCATGAACATTTAAAATATATCCATTAATAAAAGGATTAAAGCAAAGTTTAAAAGCCTGAAAGTACAGTAAAATGACTAGTTGACAAGTACTGTAGTATTTAGGAAACCTCTCTGAAGCCTATTCTCCATGAATTTTTGTATCAACTTCCTTACTTACAAAAATAATAATCATCAACTACTTTCATTAAGTCAGCTTTAAGATCAGTGATAAAAACTAAGTTCCAAAAACTAGATCCCTAAAGATACTATTTACTTTGTTACTCACTGCTTACTCAAACTCTACATCTATAAGCAGATATCAGCTGTTCTGCAAGATAAGAAATTAACAGTAGCTATGATGGATACATAAGGAAACAATTATACTAGTTACTATAGAAGCTGGAATGCTTGTTCTGGGCTCAAAGATCTTAATTAGAAAAAAATATATATAGAAAGAAAAACTACAAAAAGAGAGTACTTGAGATTAAGACTGGATTTTTGATAGCACTGTTGTGTTTACTAAACACATTTCATATTTGGAAAAATACACTAACTAGACTTGTAAGCATTCTCTCTGGACCTTCCCTGCCTTTTTGGGAGAAGGGGAAGGGAAGTCTGCGAAGCGTTTAGACATGAACTAAGAAGGATCAGGCTACACACATTAAATATAAAGTTCACTTACACCAAATGACAGCACATTTTGGAGACATACAATCATATTCTAGAGGAAACTATTCAGAAACTGCAGTCAGGCAGGGGTAGCTCAATCAGTTAAAGTCTGACTTCAGCCCAGGTCATGATCTCACAGTTCTTGAGTTTTAGCCCCGCATTGGGCTTTGTGCTGACGCTCAGAGCCTGGAGCCTGTTTCGGATTCTGTGTCTCCCTCTCTCTCTGCCCTTCCTCCACTCATGCTCTTTGTGTCTCAAAAAATAAATACAAGTTAAAAAATAAAAATAAAAAAAAAAACAAGAAAAAGAAAGAAACTGCAGTCAGAATCAAAGGAAAGGAGAAAAACCCATACTTCTTTTGAGTTCTGAATTCAGAAATCATCACTTCTTAGGAGTGACTTCAATACACAGGTTACTGATTTAGGATCGTTGATCCATGGCACCCCATACCCCACATGAAATTCTGAATGGATGGAGCTCATCTTCTAGCAAAAATGGGCGGAAGAGAGGTGGAAAATAACTTTATGCAGAAGATCTAAGACTTACAAACCATAGGAAGTGTTAAGGCAGCTTTATAAATACCCCAGAGGAAAGAACTAAATAAATCATTTGGCAGCATGAACTAGGACAGGGTCGGAATATGAATGTACACTGATATTTAATACAGGGGCTAGGGATAAATTTGAATAATAGCAGTAAATCCACATTTGTAACACGATACAAATAACAGAAGAAGTTACTGCAAAAGCTAACACAGAAGGCTTTCTTTCCAGGAGTAGTTACTACAGTTATTAGAAAGGAAACTTTTTGTCTCAGACGGGATCAAGGTAGCTGGTTCGACAAGGCAAGCCTTTTGGGAAGATGGACAGTGTAAGCTAATTTAGCAATAGAAGAAGGCCGGCTAAGCAGATCGACTTGGCCTTTTCTGAACTATCGCCCCAGGCAAGGGTTTCTAACCTGAGGTGCCCAATGCGGCAGGGGCACACAAGTTTTCTGCAGCACCGGTGTGTTTACGCACCCACCACCCTCTGGCCATCCTAGCTGCCTCGGCCCCTCCTCAAGCGCACCTGCACGTTTAACCAACAGCTATTTCCGCTGGCCCACTTGACTGAGCCGGCGGCAATATTCAAAAGCAGTTTCCGGCTCGAGAAGGACAAACCCTCTCCTAATTGTCCAGAACCACCCCTCCCACTGGACAACCATCTGCACCTCTGGCCACTGGAAACTGCCGGGCTGGGTACGCAAAGTCCGCAGAAGGGCCTCTCAAACCAGCCCTGCGCCCTAAACCGAGGCCTAGAAGGATGGCGGGGCCGGGCCTGTCGCCCCACTGAAGCCCGGCTTGACAGTGGAGGACCGGCCGGTGTTTCTCCTCCCAGCCCCGGGGTCTTGGGGCAACAAGGAAGGGAAACGGAGAAAGGACAGCACGAAGCAGCTCACCCCTGGCTCAAGGCAACGCGCTACCGGCGGCAGCAGCTCCACCTCAGCCCGCAGCTCAGACCCACAGCGGCAGCGACGCGGGCCGGGCTGCGACCGGGTCGCACCTCAGTGACGCAGAAGCCCCGCCCCCAGAGCGTTTTTGGAAACAGTGCGCAGTCACTGACCCCAGCCCTCCGCTCCTGTTCCGGCTGCGGCGTGCCGCTCAGCCTGAGGATCTTTGACGTTCGAGGCCCGGAGGCCATCTGAGAGGGTGACGCCCCAGGAGGGGGCCGAACCCAAGAGGAGGCAGGAGAAGCCTCGCCTGGCGGGCTCCTAGAGGCTCGGTGAGGTGAGGTGGCCTTTGCTCCCGCCTGGCCGACTGCCGCCTCCTGACGCCACCTCCCGAGCGGCTGTCGCGGGCCCGCCCAGCTGTTGACAAAGGCCGCACTGTAGAACCCGGGTTTGGTGAAGGGTTGGATTCCAAGCCACCACTTGTTAGGCCTCCCACTGGTCATAGCTACACAAAGGTAATCTTGTTACTTTACCATGCGATGGGGCCAATTATACTCACCTAGCTAGGTTGAGAAGCAAAAAAAACTATATGGAAAGTAATTAGCACTGGGTCCCACACGGTAAGCCCTAATAAATGGCAGCAATTCTTATGAACACATGCTGTGATATTATTGCTGCCCATTAAGCATCTGTTGTGTGCAAAATACTATACAAGTCACCTTACAGGCATTGCTCTTGTTTAAGTGGTTTGTTCAAAGTCACACGTCCAGTGAACAGCAGAGCAAGGACTTAAACCCAGGTTTAAATTACTTACGATAGATTAAACTAAATTAAACTACTTAGCAGGTAAATTAAACTACTTACGATTCTTAATGTTTGGACGCTTGTGTATCAATTATTTGTAGATTTAAACTGTGAAGAATTAATCCTGCCCTCTAATAATAGCTATTGACCATAGAAGAAGCCCTATTCCAAGTACTTTAAAGGTATTAATTTAATCCTCACAGCAATCCTGTTAAGTAGGTATTATTAATACCTTCATTTTACAGTTGAAGAAACAGGAAAGTATGTTAAATTTTACAAGGGTCAACCAACCAGTAAGGAACAGAGCTGTATTCAAACCCTAACTGACTGAACCATGAGCTTGTGCTTTTAACTCTTGTAAACTGCCTCAGTAAGACTTCATCAGGGCCAGGTTCATGTTGTCCGTGTACTCCCCTTTTATACATTACGGAGAATGTGCTGAGGATTCTCTGCCTGACAACTAGCACACAACCTGGCCTGCAATAGTTGTTCAGTATTTGAACATGTGATGAATATATGAACCTTGGAAAAACTAAGCCTAATAATGATAGGCCAAAACTAAGCCTATAAGTAATGATTTAGTAAATTAAAAAAAAAATCTAATTAAATTCAGCAAGATTCTGTAGTTTAGCCTTATCTGGGCCTGGGAGTCTGGAATATTTCTCTGTAAAATTTTCCTTCAATTAAAATAGTATTGGAGGTTCTACTTAGTGCAATAAAACCAGGCAAAGAAATAAAAGGCATAGAGATTGGAAAGGAAGAATAACACTGTATTTGCAGATAAAAATACCATGGAATAGTACCAAAAAAAGCTACTGGAACTAATTAGTTTAGCAAAGATGCAGGATACAAAGTTAATATACAAAAAATCAGCTGTATTTCTGTATACTAACAATTAACAATTGGATGTTGAAATTTTTAAAATATCATTTAGCAGCAAAAACAAAAACACAAAAACCTAGAGATAAATGTGACCAAAGATGTAAAAGACATAAAATGAAAACTGTAAAACATTGCAGGAGAAATTAATGATCTAAATACAGAGATATATCATGTTCATGGATCAGAAGATTCAATATTTTTAAGATGTCATTTCTGTCTGAATGGATCTACAGATTTAAGGCAAGCCCAATAAAAATCATAGCAGATTCTTTTTATAGAAATTATCAACCTGATTCTAAATTTTATATGGAAATGCAAAGGAACTAGAGTAGCCAAAACTTTGACCAAGAAAAACAAAGTTGAGGGACTTACAATACTTGATTTCAAGACATTATAAGAAGGGCGCCTGGATATCCGAGTTCATTGAGCCTCTGACTCTTGATTCAGCTCAGGTCTTGATCCCAGGGTCGTGAGATTGAGCCCCACATCCTTAAGATCCTCTCTCTTTCTCTCTCAAAAAGAAAAAAAAAAAGACATTATAAGAGTTACAGTAATCAACACAGTGTGGTATTGATGTGAAGATAGATATAAATAGAGCAATGTAACAGAATTGAGAGCTCAGGGATAGACCTACACATACAGAGTCAATTGATTTTCAACAAATATGCCAAGGCAATTCAATGGGGAAAGGATAATATTTTCAAGAAATGGTGCTAGAACAATTGAATAGTTATGCCAAAAAAATGAAAAGAATTTCACTCCTTTCCTCATACCATATAAAAAATTAAAAAATGGATCATAAATCTAAATGTAAGAGCTAAAAGTATAAAACTCATAGATGAGAATATAAGAAAAAAAATACATTACCTTGGATTTGGCAAAAATTTTTTAAACATGGCACAAAAAGCATCTTAAAAGGGAAAAGAATTGATAAATTTTACCTTCTCAAAATTAAAACATTTTTTCAAAACATACTTAAGAAAGTAAAAAGGTAAGCCATAGACTGGGAGAAACTGTTTGGAAAGCATATATTTAATAAAGGACTTCTAACTACAATATATAAAGAACTCTTACAACTCAGAAGACAAACAACCTAATTTTTAAAACTGGGCAACAAATTTTTTTAAAATTTTTTTAAACGTTTATTTTTTATTGAGAGACAGTGAGAGATAGAGCATGAGCATGGGAGGAGCAGAGAGAGAGGGAGACAGAATCTGAAGCAGGCTCCATGCCCTGAGCTGTCAGCACAGAGCCTCACGTGGGGCCTGAACCCACAAACTGCAAGACCATGACCTGAGCCAAAGTCGGATGCTTAACCAACTGAGCCACACAGGCGCCCCTGGGCAACAAATTTAGATAGACACTTTACCAAAGAAGTTATATTGATGACAAAATAAATATATGAGAAGATGCTTAACATCATTAGACATTAGGGAAATGAAAATTAGAAATACAATGAGGTATCACTGCACACCCTAGTCACAGAATGGCTAAAATTAAAAAGACTGATCATACAAATTGTTGGCAAGGATATGGAACAATTAGAATTTTCATATAGTGCATTTTGGGAATATAAAATGATATAACTAATTTGGAAAACAATTTGGCCATTTCTTAAAAAGCTAAACATATACCTACCATATGATTCCCATTGCATTCCTAGGTATTTACCCACTAAGACTATGAATATTCATTGCAGCATTATTTGTGATAGGCCCAAACTAGAAACAACCCAAATGACCACCAGCAAGTGAAGGGAAAACAAATTGTGGTATATTCACATAATGGAATACTGCTTGACAATGAGAAGGAATGGACAATTGATAGACTCAACAACATGAATGAATCTCAGAATAATTATTCTGAGTGAAGGAAGCCAGACCAAAAAAGCAACACATACTGTATGATTCCTTTGATATAGAATTCTAGAAAATTCAAACTATAGTGATAAGATCAGTGGTTGCGATCAGTGGGATGCAGAGGATGAAAAATGGGGACTGGACATTGGTGGGAAGGTGGTATCACAAAGGAGAAAACTTTTTGTAGTGATAGATATGTTATTTTTCTTGATTGTAGTGATGGTTTCACAGACGTATGCTCGGTCAGAAGTTCTCAAATTGTCTACTTTTATCATGTGCAGTTTACTATATGCAAATTTTGCCTCAGTAAAGTTGGGATGGAAAACATATCTATTTAAATTTTAGAAGGCTTTATATTACAGCCTAATCTGAGCCTGGGAGTCAGAAAATCAGTGCAAATTGCTTTCAACTTATAAAATTGAAGTAGTCCTTTTTTATACTTCATAGAGAGTGTAGTGAAGATTGCAACTATAGGAGAGACTACAAGATTAAAATATTTTAAAATTAATATTATTGACATCTCTAGATAATTTCTTTTAAGCACTACAGCTTTTTTCTTAACTTTCCACAAGTGTAATGATTAAAATATAAAACCATAAGACATTAATAAAGATTATCTTAAAAGCTGTAATAGAAGAGATTAGAAATTCTGAAATAGGAGTTATGAAGTTATTTTGTAGCAGGCAAAGGAAACCTTTATTTTTCTTATATAAAAAAAGGTGCAGGAAAATGTTTGTAGGAAACCACAAGTATAAATAGCAAGAGTTAAGGAAAGTGAAACTACTAAGTTAACCCTTTTATAAGAAGAAGAGTGGGGTGTGCCTGGGTGGCTCAGTCAGTTGAGCAACCAACTCTTAATTTCTGCTCAGGTCATGATCCCAGGGTCATGGTGATCGAATCCTGTGTGAGGCTCTGCGCTCAGCATGGACCTAAGCTGCGCTCAGTTTAGGATTCTGTCTCTCCTTCTGCCCCTCTTCCAGCTCTCATGCTCTCTCTCTCTAAAGGGGGAGGGGGAGGAGGAGGGAAAGGAGGAGGAGGAGAAGAATTGATCCTTTTGTAATGAATCTTCTAATTTGTAATGCATATTCAGATTTTCATAGTTTAGGTAGGTATTTGCCCATCCAAATACAGAGGCTTCAATGAAATTGTAGTAAACACAGTCCTGTAGTGAAGACCAGGAAAATTTGAGAGACTTTTAAAACTTTTTTCTAAGAAAATATGTCCAATGCCTCCTGCTTTTTGTTAGGTCACTAAATATGTGATAGGACTGTGGGAATATATGAGGAAGGCTCTGAGTGGTTTTGGATTGTAAAAACTTTTAACTTCCTATATTAATCCATAAAATTATGAAGTTAAAAGAACTAATAAATCATTTGGTCCAACATTCTTCATTTATAGATGAGGAAACTGAGATCCAAAGATGACAAGGTCCTTCACCTAAGGACCACAGAGCAAGTTAACTAAACTGTGTTAGAATCCAGATATGCTGACCACCAGTCTAGTGCTTTTCCTCACAGTACATTACTGCTTTTAATTATATTAGTGTAGAATACAGAGGAACAACTGGCCACCTATAATTAAGATTAAAGCTTCATCATCTTCTAGAATGATGCATTTTGAGGTTTTTATGTCTTATCGATCCCTCCTTTCTGGCTGTTTCTTCTCAAGCTCTGTCCTCAGTTTTCTGCTTTTATTTTTGAACATTTGGGGAGCTCAGGCACTTGTAGCTTCAATTATCATCCATATTCAGATGATTTCCAAATCAACATTGCCAATTGTTATCTTTCATTAGTGTTCCAATCCTGTATTTCCATATTTACATAGAATATCTCCCAGAGGGATGAATGTACTACAGTGATGGGCTCCTGAATTCAACAATTTCCTTATCAAAGTAGCTTCAGTATTCCTTCTGGTCTCCCAGGTTAAATCATATGAAGAGATTTCTTTCTGTCTCCTAAAGCATTCTGTCA